ATCAGACTCAAGATCGTCGGCACCCGTATCGACGCCACCGACATCTTCGCCATCGGAACCCTTATGGACGACTTCCTCGGCTTGAATTGAATCATCAAATGAGACAATCGCCACACCATTCACACCACTGTCCACACCATTCACACTACTGTCCACACCATCGGTGGCTAACTCTTGGCTTTCCTTGCATTTGATTATTGTTTCCCTAATTCTGTCGTCAAATCATCGCTTGATTTGAAGTTTTGTTTTATTTTTCACTCATTTCTGTTGTAATTGTATTTCAATACAACATTTGTTTTATAAGATTTTCATTAAAGTGAATATAAATTGAAAATAAAACCTACGAATAGATTTGATTCAAGAATTTGTTTGTCGTTTGCATTCATTTCTACGATATTCTCATATTCTGGACGTAATTATGAGAATATGTTTGCATTGAATGCAATGTAGGCTTCAATTCACTCATTGTTTGCATTGTTTTGTAAATAAGTTTAGAAAATATTTTTTGACATAAAATCAAAGCAAATATGATTCACATTAAGACCGAACCCCCGGATGGCATGCCATGCGATCAGATGGTGGTAACCGATCACACATTCACTCACAATAGGGTTAAACACGAGATTAAGACAGAGGTGTTGTCTAACTGTGCGTTCAGTCCATACAATCATACATTCATTGATGGGTTTGTTAAACACTATTAAAGTTATTAATAAATCATTAATTGTATCATTCATTCAATTATTGCAAACTATTTATGTGTTCAATAAATTTCAATGATTTCGACAAACTTTTAGATTTTCTAAAAATATAAGTTTCTTATACTGTAGACAACATTATTAATGCACTGTTTTCTAATTAGCATGCTCATTTATTTTGGCGTTAATATTCAAAATATTAAGTATAGTTTCATAGTAAATTTATTAGGAGTTATATAATAATTTGCATTTAACATGGTGCATTTAATCAGTTGATTATAATATAATGTACATTGCATTGGTATATACAATAGGCACTGGTTAAAATTTATAATTAAATTTATTGTCTGTTTTAAATGTTTTAGAGATTCTCATCAAATGAATGCAAATATGATTCACATTAAGAGCGAACCCCCGGATGACATGCCATGCGATCAGATGGTGGTAACCGATCATAGATTGGCAGATATTCTGGTTAAACACGAGTCTAAAACAGATATATATTCTGATTGTGCACTCAATTCATGCACTCATCATAGGTTTGTTAAACACTATTAAACGGAAAGTTTGCTTTCATTTTGTTTAATTATTAATTTAATATAATTTGCAATTTTTTTAAATAATAAATTCTGCACTCATTTACTAAAACATTAATTATTGAGTAATTATAAGAATATGTTTGCATTTGAATGAAGTATTGTGTCATTGATTGTACTTTTTGTCCAAATAGTGATCAAAATGCTCATCAAATGAACACAAATATGGTTCACATTAAGACAGAATTACCGAATGGGATGCCATGCCATCAGATGGTGGCAACGGATCAGCCATTGCCTGACATTAGAGTTAAACACGAGATCGAGAGGCAAATGAAGAGCGAATCACCGGATGTGAAATTATGGGATCAGTTGGTGTTAACGGATCACACAATTACAGACACAGGGGTTAAGCACGAGATTAAGGGCGAGATTATCAGTGAATGTCAACTCTTAACGACCGGTGCCTTCAATTCAACGCTAACCCAATCCCTGACCANTTATGGGATCAGTTGGTGTTAACGGATCACACAATTGCAGACACAGGGGTTAAGCACGAGATTAAGGGCGAGATTATCAGTGAATGTCAACTCTTAACGACCGGTGCCTTCAATTCAACGCTAACCCAATCCCTGACCAATAGGTTTAGTTAAAACACTGTTTAATAATTACTATTAATTAATAAAATGTGTTATAAATGATAGTCAAGTAAAGGGATAATCCATAAGCAAATTGAGGCCATAATTATGGTATACCAGCAAAGGCTTAGACAACTCAATGCCATGGAGT